ATTGATCTGTGCTTTTCACAGGAAGGGTGCTAAGGCGCTCCAGGCAGCTGGCAGATTGCAGGCTGGAGAAAAGGTGGAAAGCTGCCTGATGGCTACGGTTGTGTAGTTAGGCTGAAATCCACTTTACTCTTGCTGTGCCCACAACAAAAGTGGTCTCTTTGCACCAGGCAGGTTCTTTAAAAAGACAGCTGGTGCTCTAGCAATCCTTTCCCCCATGAAATTTGATGGGATCCTTCTGGGGCTTTTTTTTTTTCCTCCTCTCTTTACAGGAATTTCAAAATCCTTTTATTAAATCTAAACCCCACTGTTTGATAGTTCATATCTAACCTATAGTTACCCAATATGAAGATGCAAGCACAAAATAATTTCCCAGGAAGGTTCACACAAAAGGGAATAACTCTGATTTTTTTTTTTTTCAGTCATTTGAGGAAAATCTATAAGAGGACGGATAAAGCAAAGAGTGATGATAGCACAGCACAGATACAAACCTGATGGTCTTACACCGATTCTGTCGGGGTTTCCGCTCCAGTGGCTTCCTTAAAGGAACACTGTCAGAAAGAAAAATCACGTTGCTGGAAGTGGGCTGTGCAATCAATCACTGACCACTGAGAAAGCGGGGGATCAGATGGATTCCCTCTTGAATTCAATGAAAACACTTCAAAGAAACCAGCATGTCTCTCGACTGAGGTGTTCAGTCACATATTTGGTGCCTCGTTCCCTGTCACAGTTGCTTAATGAGACTAGATTTTTGTAATCCCAGAAAAGAGAGACCAAAAGATTATTATGTAAGTTAGAAACCTTTTTCACTGTAGATACCATCTTTGGATAATTGCATTTTCTTGGACTGACCCTTGAGCAGAATAATTTACAAAAAATAATGGCTTTTTCCCCCCCCACTGCTAGAACAGTATAAATTACTATTTTCTAACCTGTAGTCCCTGCAGTGCTTGGATTATGTGCGAGGGCTCTGCGAAAGGTGACAAAAGAAAAGCATGTCTTCATATAATCCACAGCAGTTACATATGAGAAACTTCTGAAGGTCCATGTATTGAAGAAGGTGGAAAATAGCAGTGTAGACAGCCTGAGGAACTTGATCAATGTGCTCTACTCCTCCCAGCGAGGCCAAATTCCACAGCCTTCCCCCTCCTGAGCGACCGTTTGTGACTGTATGTGTTCCTGGCTCTAACTAGTGTGAGATTGCAAATCATTATATGCCATATGGAGCCTTCACTGTTCCTGCTCATCCTTGGACTTGAGAAGACCGAGATGTTCTACCAGTGCTTCTTTCTGTTCTGCTGCCTCTTGTAGCAGCCCCCGTGGCCAGATCCAGCCATATGTCACTGTTCAGGCCGATGCAGCAAGAGCTGAGCGACACGTATCGTCTGTGTGTAGGATTTTTTTAGGTCTTCTGTAGATAATTCTTAAACTTGGAAAAAATACATGGATATTAGGGCCAGCAGTGATTGAATAGAGTCCTTTCAGAAGGCATAGAATGTTTCATTCCCTTTCTCTGGAGATGTTTTATTCCCTTTCTCTGAAGATACTTTATTCCCTTTCTCTGAAGATATTTTATTCCCTTTCTCTGGAGATGTTTTATTCCCTTTCTCTGGAGTTAGCATCCCCAGTAGCCAGGGACTTGTGTTTCCCTTTTCTTCAGAAAAATGCAATGACCTTTTGCACTGGGACAGCCCTTATCAGCAGATGCGGGGAGCAAACCTAAGGGAGATAAATGCACCAGAAGTAGTTATCTTACTACTTTTGTGTAAAAAGAAATGCAGATTAAGCTGGTTGTGGCTCTGGAGAGGTGTATAAATAAGTTGCATTACTTCTTTCTGCCTCTGAATATAGAGCCTGGTAATAATCCTTTACTTCCCACAACCCATTTTTGAGGGATCAGACATGTTCCTGTGTCAAATTTATGAATTTCTTCACAATTTCTCTGTCTGCCTTATCTTCCCTGGCCTCTGTGGGTTCCACAGCAGATTTCGTTCATCATGTTCGTGTTGGATTTCTTCAGAGAAGGGATCAAACTGTTCACATTTTCTTTCTAGAACAGATTCAGGGAGTCTATCAGCTTTCTTTTATGAATCTTTGTGTTTGCTTTGTATTCAGGTGTAAGATTCATTTACATCTATGAATTAATCTAGTAATCTTTTTTGAAAGACAGCAGAATTGTTTGCCTTTATTCAATTTACTTATCTTAGCGAAAAATAAAATAAAAAAGGAGGGTAATGTCTCCTCAACTAGGTTTGTTGCTATTTCCAAATGAGTTTTAGAAGCATAAAAACTCCATGTGTTTTCCCAATTCCACATAGTTATCCTTAGCTCAGTGTTATCTCTGGAGGAAGCAAAACTGTTTTATCTTGGCAGATGTGAAGGCCGTTCACTTCTGTGTCTCGTGGTGTGTTTTGAGTTCTCTGTTTTCTCTCCAGCCCAGCTTTTTTCGGTAACTCTTCTGGGTTTTGCAGTCTTGGACCCAGAAGGCAGTGGTGCCTGTTTTACCCTTTTCTTCTGCTGCTTGAGACTTTGCTCAGCGCTCACTCTGACGTTCAGTGTTTCTTCCTTCCCAACCTTATTCTCAGCAGGCGTTTCCGTAGCGTGGGAGTGGAGTATAATGTCCTTCTGGTCTTAAAAGTGTGAAAAAGCTCTTTCCTTCAGGAATTAAACAACTGATCTTCCATCTGCTCGCTGATGTAGTGTCCTCTTAGCTTAGCCCAAAATATTCATGTAGGATCTAACATAATTTAGTCTTTCGCATCTCAGCTGGCAACATACCCCAGCCAGGTAGTTTTTCTATGTATTTTAACATTTAATAGTGCTCTCTATTTTTTTTAACATCCCAGTAAGGTGTGTGCTACAGATAGTTGGAGGCCAGGTAGAGTACGTCTGTCGGGTTTTCTGATGAATCCTTGTTTAAAAAATTTTCATTGTATGTAATGATGCAGAATTTTGGAATTTTAAGCTGAATTAGTAGGCACAAAATGTCAAAGTATAGTTTAGTTGTGACTGTAATAAAAATCTGTCCACTTTCTGCAGTGCATTTCTAGCGTTCTCAAGTGCTGTGTTTCTCGGAAAAGAAAGTTCTATCAAACCCTGGCACCCGTAATAACTCACACAAGGGAGTCATTACAAATCTGTTAATGAATGAGGTAATAACCCCTGAATGGACTTCAGAACAGCAGCCCTCCAGACTCTTTATGAAAGTGTTTTTCCAATCAACTTGTAACTATTTAGGCAGCCTCTTAACTCTTCCCTTCATGGTTTCACTGTAAGAAGAACAAATAGAAAACATGAAATCATCAGAAATCAATGACTCTGGTCTGGGAACACACATATTAAAATGTCTTCCTTACAGAAGTCCGGATATCACACAGTAAAGCAGAATTTGAGGACATTTGGATCCCTGATCTGTGCATTTCTGTAAGCTTAGCTTGTTTGAGTTACTTTTGTGTTTGGACTGTGATTTTTCTATTTGTTTTTAGGGTAGTTGAACCTTCTTGATGAGGCATTTGACCTTAAGTTGCTGGTGTGCATACTTAAATCTCAGCTCTAGTATAAATCTGGCTGGATGTTCTGGAATGTAAGTGATAAAAACAATAAAACCAGAATGGCTTTACAAAATCTTTTCCAACTTCATCAGCAGAAGAAATTCTAGTTGTTTTTAAGTTAAACTAGACTTGGTGTGAATTGTGGGGGAGAGCCTGGTATGCTTGAGAAATGTGTTTGCTGCTAGCCACAGGTGCAGTCCTTGCATGATTAAAGCTCAGCCTTTCTGGAAGATAATAACACTTTACACCGATAACGTCTCCCGACATGATTCAGTCCTTCCAGCTGCAGAGTTTCTTCTTTCTTATATCTAATTGTGACCCACCTGGCAGAGAGGACTGTGAACTGCTTCAAGTAATTGAATAAGCCAGAGCCTTCTGCTCTGGCTTGCTGGAAGCTGAGCCTACGTCTCCATCAGTGGTGTGGGTCCATGTCGTGCTTCACTGCTGGGACTGGGAGAAGATGACTGAGTGCTGCATCGCCCTGTCCACTGCCCCAGCTCCTAGGGGTCCTTGCCTTGCTTTGCTTCTGCACTTCTGTCATAATATTGACTTGCAAACACAGAGCTTTTTTTTGCCAGTTGCTATGGTTACCTCTCAGCTACCAGCATCTGAACTGTAGAAAGGAGTAACAAGCAATACATTTCAAGCCTTAATGAAATGCACAGCAGTGTGTTAAACTTTTAAACCCGACGTGAATATCACTAAGCAACATCCATTCGTGATTTGCCATAATTACTGCTGCAAGCTCCTTTGGATTGAAATGCTGGAGCACAAGTCTTTCTCCTCCACTGCATCAAATATGTTTTTCTGCCAGCAGCTTTGCAGTATATCAAACCTGTGATGTTTCATAGTCCCTTCACAATTTTAAAGAACTAACTTTGACCTCTTTAAATTATTCGCACCTTCAGACCAGCAACATCTCCAAAATCTCCTTTGGTGTATGTCGCCCATTTCCTTCTCATTCACTTCCAGAAATTTATTTTAAAGACCTTTGATTCTTCTGCTCTAGTTCCGAAATGTGAATCCAACTCATTTCCCCCAAGCTGCTGCTTGCCTATTTGGAAGAACCAATTTCATCAGACCAGCATTAATGTTGAATTAAATGTGTGCCTAGTTGGTGCTTGGAGCTGTTTGCTCCAGCAACTGCACCAGAAGGAGTCGATGCCTCAAGTCTCTTGAGATGGTGGTTTTCTTCTAAATAAGAGGTCTTATTTAGTCTATTTTGAAAAATGTGTTTTATCCCTCAGTTTGAGAAGTAAAATTAAACCGGACACTGGTTGTGTATCCACACTCCAGGCTTCGAGTTGAAAGATTAATTGCATCGCCTGGTGCAATTGCAGTTCTTGAATTAGTTGTGCTTGTGGATCAGGCAGTTCAGAATATTTCTGTGCTGTGCCCAGTTTCTCTGCTGATCATCTGATGTCCTGTATTTTGTTCATATTTTGCATGTAGCACCAGAGTTTCCAATCCTAGAGAGGAAAAACTGGTTGATCTATCTGCTATATGTTCACAGAGACTACGACGAGTGCAAGGTAAGAGCTCATTTTGGGACATTGCATTAGGAAGTATTTTATTAACATTACGAAAAGATAGTTTTCACACCAGTTTTCAACCTACCCTCTTTCCTGATTTCTTTTGGAATAAGAGGACCAAGAGAAAATACAAGCAAAATAACTTTAATGTTCTCAAATTGTTGGCTACCTTCAGGATTCACGCGTGCAATTCTCTGGAGCAATCTGTGAGCTTAGTATGTCTTTAGGAGTGGAAAAATGGGAAAAATTGCAAACCTGTCTTGTTGCAAGTGATGAATAGTGTCTTCCAAACTGATAATAACACAGTTCCATAGTGCAGGTCTCTCAATGGTACTACAGAGATGCTATGAAAAACACTTCAGTTGAGTAAAACATTATTAAAAAGTCTAAAGAAAAAAGGTCTTGATTACACTTGAACAAAATTCTTTCATTTTGCACATGACACATTGCACCCTTTAATTTCTCCTGGGTTGGGTGAGTACCTTGGAAGTGGTGGTATGATTTGGGATTATAATGGTAAGTGGACTTAGGAAATGGCAAATCTATTAAATGCTGTGTTTTCCTGATAAAATGAACACATGCTATTGAAGATGATGTGCCAGTGGGCAGGAGGAGGGGGATAAGAATTGCCTTTCTGTTTCTATCGTGTGCAAAGAAGATCTGAAATGACTTTTTTTTTTTTTTTCTTTTTTCCTTCTGAAACACCAGGGTTGGTCAGGACTTGTCTCTCTCTGCTGGAGAACTCCTGGGGGTGCTTAGGAAAGTAGCAGGCTGGAGGAAATTAATTTAGCTTTTAATTAATGGAGCTGGAGGGTTGGATCATAAGCATAGCGATTTCCTGGCAGATCTTGGTTTAAATAGGTATAAACAAAAGTTGGACTAGCAACCTAAATAGAAAATAGTTTCCCTTTTCTGTTGATCTGACTGCGTTTTTTTTGGTCTCCGATTTTGTACGTTTACTGTTGCTGTGATGTGATGTAGAATCACAGAGAGCAGAAAAGATGTACAGCTCGGGAAAACAGAGAAAAATAACCAAGTGGATGATATAATGGCAGCATTGACGTCTCCACATCTTCATCAGTCATGGAAGCAAGCAAAATACGAAGGGGGAAAAAAAGGAGGGAAGGCAGCTAGTAGTTTTTTGCTAGACAGGTTGGCTTTGCGATAGCTTCAAAGTAAAAGGCAGCAAAGCCTTTCCTCAGGGCTTTTTGCAGTAAAGTTGGAAGTGTTTGGCACCAGACCATAGCAGGTTAAATGATCTTCCATCCTTTTCCCCAGTTGTGATGGGTGTGTTCTCAGAGGCTTGGATTTGTCCCAAAGAAGACAGGAATCTCAGGATGCTTCATCATTCATTGAGGAGCAGTAGGCACATCCAAAAGATGATTCGGATCTGAGGTGGGCTGAGCTGCCCTCTGGTAGTCTCCATCTCTCTCCGCTGGTGTTAACATGGAGTTATGGTTCTAATCTGGATGTCCCAGGTGCTCATCCTTATTCATGATAAGCATAGACAGCCCTGAACATGCTAATACTATCCGAAACCAAAGAGGTATTGACAGGGTCCTCAACAGCTCGAACTGCTGTTTACTCCTTGATTTCACTAGTTTAGGCATTCATTAAAGACCATTAATTTTCTTTTAAGACTCAGTTAAGAAACAAGTGACTGGTGATGCAATTAATTTTAGTCTGAATCTTGCTAGACCCTTGTTCCCACTCAGTGCTTTCAAATGCCTCCTCTCTAACATGACTTTTAAAGCTCCCATATTTGTCAAAGGTATAAAAGGCCAAGAAAAAGTAGTTTTCTTCCCAGCGTTAGCCCCCCCAAAGTGAAGACAATAAATGGATTTTAACCCTTACAGTGCCACTCCTGTATCTATTCTGGTGTTGCCAAACTTTAGACAGATTTTGCTGCTCGTTACAGCGAGAGATTAATAACGCTGGCTGTTTGATTCGCCTCCCCCCTTTACCCAGCAAGATGGAAGGCAAATATCCCCCAGAGCCTGCGGCTGCAGCATCCCGTGCGATCGCAGTGGCAGGGAGGAGTGGAGGGAGCAGAAGGACAAGCCCTGCTAAGCAGTGATCATCATTCAGCTCTTGCTCTTTGCATGCAAAGCTAATAAACTCTGTTTTCTGCTTGCAGCATCAATTCCAGCCCTACCCCCTAACTGTTTTTCACAACAGAAATCTTCTTCTGTTATACACAAGGAAGGAATTATTAAAATTACCAGATGCTTTTAATTAATTAAAATCACTCATGCTGGTTAGTCTGCTGCCAGTATGTCTAAATTCTGTCAGTGAGTTAAATAAACTTGGGAGGAAAAGCTGGGATTACAGATCATATTTCTCTGCTCAAGGCCTTTTGCTATGGGATTTTTTAGGGCTTTTAGAATTAATCAGATCTCTCTGAAAGATAGCTCTCTATTGCCCTCTCTTGCTCTGAGAAACTGGTTTTATATAGATGGAGCAATACAGTGTCTGTATTCAGGAGATGCTTGATTGTGTCTGAGTTGAATGTCCTTTAATAATGTATTTTATAAAGAGTGTTATATAGATATATGAGCAGATACAGCTCTGAAAGGAAGAGCAGCTTCAACTTGTTCTTCCTTTTCCTTCCTCTCTTTTTACGAGAGAGGATGCTCAATAATAACCCTCCTTGCCTTTACCCCACTTTCCTTCTTCGTGGTATATTTGAGGTTCAATTTTCCTCCTTGTTTTCAGGTCTTTTATTTATATTCATCTCAGAGGCAGGGGATGCTGGTGCTGCTCATCCACTTGACAGAAGTGCCAGATGAGTACCAGGTTATTGCTAGCCCAGAAATCTTTCTTTCTTCCCTTTGTCTCTTCCACTTCCGAGCAAAAGAGGAATCTCAGAGCAGAAATGAAGCGGTTGGTTTGTAGCCACAGTGCTCATCCTCCCAAAGGTCGCTCTTTTTGACCAGTGTTATAATTTTGGGTCATGTGTTATTATGAAATGTAGCCAAACCGCACCCCAAACTGTCAGCTGCATGAATGCAGCCAGCAAGAATTTACATTTTAATCAAGTTTTTTTCCCCCTTCCTTTTCCTATGTCCTCGTCATTTGTTCATTTGGCTTTCCTTGACTCAGCTGCAGTTGCTCCAATTCAATTTATTTCTTCACAAAGAGCCTAGAGTAGATACCCTTATCAGCAGAGGATCCTTTCAGAGATTCCTTGTGGCATTTTCCCCGGGTAATATCTAATTATCTTTGGTAACGGAATGAAGAGAGAAATATTAAAAGGTCTGTATTCCTGGCACAGTGCTCTTCGCACACGATGACGAGCTTGCGCTCTTCTTTGCGCTCTTGTAGTCCCAGCTGCAGTCTGGTGCTTTTATTATACGTGAGGTTGTGGTTTCTGTAGCTGAAACTGAATCTCTGTCATTAGCTTTGTTAAAATATTGACTCTTTACCGCTTTTAGAGCGTTTTAAGATAGTATGTTGCAGCAACTAGCCACAAATTCTGTATTAATATTGACTTTTCCAAGCACAAACTCCAGTTAAACAAATTTTGTAGTTCTGATACCATTGTTACCATTACATAAGGAAAAACTGTGTCTATCAACACATTGCATGATGTTTGAATTCAGGTTATTTTAGGGCATTCTGCAGTAAGCACAGATACAGCAGGGCTATATGTAGCACATACAAAAAATTCTCCAGATCAAGATTGCAGAAGGTATTTGGTCAGTCAGAAATCAATTTTCTTTCATAGAGATTGCCTTTATTAAAATATTTGAAAGGTTTATATTCTTCTGAAACCTGTCATCCTACAGTTTAGTAACGGGGTAACAACGAACCAGCTAACGGGCTTTTTGGTGAGGGAGACTGCATTTGGTATGTATGCTCTGCACTTTGTCGTTTCAGGCTGTCATCAAAGAGCAGCTCCAGGAGTCTCATGGGCTGTGTGAATATGCAGTCTACGTTCAAGGTATGTCGCAGGAGGCCTCCAAAAGTCTTAATTTTGCTAAAGCGAATTGAGATACAGTGAACAATAAGGGGAACAGATGATAAAAACATGTAAAATTCGTATGTAAAAAATATTTGGCTTTTTTTCTACTTGCTAGGTCTAGTTTTGAAGTTTGGGATTTTTATGTGGATGGGCAGATTAGATTTTCTGTTTTCTCCTTACCGATGAGTTTGTCATCAGTTCCTCCTTGAAGGCTCTTGGCCTTCGATGTGCTTGGGTTGTGTGTTTGATTGTATTACAGATGAAGGTTTTCTGATAGAGCTACATACCTCAGGTGATTCTTTGCTTTAAGGATGCTCTCCTCCTTCCTCTCCTGCCCTCTGTCCCCTAAAAAATGTCCCCCCAAACTTGGCAATGCAATTCAAAGTGCCATGTGTCGTGTTGGCAGATGACCAGGGTGAAATGTGTTGGCCAAGGACATGCTGCAGCCTGTAGAAATTGGTGCAGGGGGTGGAAATCCAGAACTGCATCTTAATGAGCAATTTGCCAGGGTTTAAAGCTGCCTTTATTCAGGAAACCAGAAATTTTTCCAAGTGAGTTGCATGAGTCCTTTGCATCCGTTGTCGTTCTGCCCTCAGACACAGCTTCTGCCTTTCCGGGGGAAAGACCAAATGGGTGTTGTTATAATATCTCTGTACTCCCCCTCCTTCTCCTGCTGTCAGAGGCACATTTTTCCTGCAGATAATGGACTAATTTCCCTGGTATATGTTGTCTTACAGCTTTGATATTTCGCTTGGAGGGGAAAATTCAAGAATCTCTTGAACTTTTTCAGACATGTTCCATTATGAACCCTCGAAGCGCTGACAACCTCAAGCAGGTGGCACGATCGCTGTGAGTGATGTTTTATTGTTTCTCTTTGATGTGCCACCCCAGACCTTCCATGTTTTGTTTTTTTCTCCCAGGCATCAAGTGAAATCCCAGGCTGCTTAATTCTAAGCATGCTTCCTCCTTATCAACACTTGAGTTGGCTTCCAGAAGCGTGGGCTCCACTTAAAAGCAGAATCTCTGTTATCTGCCTGGCTGCCATTGTGTTTTCTTTTTGTTTGTGCTTTAAACATGAGAGTTGACACCCTGATTTCTAGCTCCAGAGCTCATGGTGCTGACCTGAGCTGTGTAAACTTGCCCTGCAGACCCTGTCTCAGAGTGTCCGGTTAGATCACCTGTTTTTTTCTTTTGAGACAAAGGCAGACTGCAGAGCCCGCGAATTCATTCCTTGCATCTCCAGTAACATCAGGGAGTGCCTCAGCATCTCTCAGGATTGATGACCTTGGCCCTGAAAGGGAGCGGTGCTCCGATTGTAGTATTGCTGAGACTGTAAACTTCTCAGGGCTTCTCACGCAGGGAACTAGCAAATACCATCATTTCTCACTGGCAAAGGCGATAGTGGTTGCACAGCGGGGTTTCAGAGCAAGAAACAAATAAAAATTGAAATACTTTCACAGGTTTCTTTTGGGGAAACACAAGGCAGCCATTGAAGTGTACAACGAAGCAGCTAAACTCGATGAAAAGGACTGGGTAAGTGTTTCAGTGAGTTGCAGGTTATTGTAGATGTTTCTCCGGTTTTATGAAGACAACTGCAAACTTGTTCCGAGCGGAGGTGAGCTCAGGCTGCCTGCAGTCTGAGCAGCAGAGAGGTCTGAGAGGCTCAGTTGCCTTTAGCACACGGATGAGGCTCTGCAGTGTCTGATGTGGATCACAGGAGCCAGGCATCATTTCTACTTGCAAAATCCCGCACCTTGTCTTAGGGCACAGAGAACTGAGCAACATGTTTAAGCTTTGTAAAGTATCGGTATTAACACAGCCATGTATATACATTAAGGAAAGTCTGGGCAGTACTTCCCTGTTTGGAAACCCTCAGTTATCTTTAAAACTTGCTTGAGTAATTGAGAATCTTTTTGTAATGCCAAACACCATTGAAAAAGATTATCCTCAAACTAGCCAAGAGGGTTACCTGTTACCTACTTCACCTACTTTGGCAAAACATAAGCTGATTGCTGCAGGAGCAATAGTTAAATTAGCTTTTCTGTGTAAGAAGACAAAAAGTGAAGGAAGAGCATTGCAAAGGGAAATGTGTGACAGTGGGTGAGCGAGAGAGGACTTGGCTTGCAGTTAGCTGTGGCCAGCTGTCTGCAGGTGACTGCTTTGCCCATGGAAGCGTTGTTTCTAAGATAGACTCGCTACATGTGATCTCCTTCCCTAAGACATCAGGTGCTCGCTGACTTTAGCCATACTTTTTGGTGCTCAGTACATCTAAAATTCAGGTTGTTTGGTATTATTCAACTTATCCCATGCCAGACAGCTCAGAAATCTTTTATACCATGGTTCTTCTTTCAGGTCTGCTTTCCCTTAGCTAACCTGTGCTCTTCCCTTGTGCTGTCTCATTCTGCAAGTCACGGTAACCAGGAGTTACTGATTAATTACTGTTCTCCACCGTTGGAGAGACTGTGTGGAGGAAAATATCATTCGAAGAGGGTTAATGGGGAAATAAGAGAGTTTCATCTTAAAGGTCAAGGCTGTCTAAACTGATGAAGCAGTGAAATGCTCACCAGAATAGAAATGAGGAACTAGTGGACCTTGCTTTTCAGCTCCCCGAGATGTATCAGAGTGGGGACGGTGCAAGCGACTTGTCTGTTAAACTGCTGGTGGTGAATTAGAGGCATGGTTGTTCCCTCCAGCGTCACCAGAGTGTTTAGGATCCCTAAGTAATCTTCCTACTCTGTCACAATATTGTTCAAGGTGTCAGAGGGATATCAGCCCTTCTGGTGCTTGACTCCTCTTTCTGTAGGTTCCTGAAACAACTTGAATTTATATTTATATTATATGATCTGCAAAGCCAGAGGGTGTGGGCAGGCACAGGGCTCTCCCCATCTGCATAAGATGATGACTGTTGTCCCTGGCAGATGATGTAGCATGGATCTCAAACCTCATGCTGATTTGGTTTTGGTTTTTTTTTTTCATACAGGAGATCAGCCACAATCTGGGTGTGTGCTACATGTACCTGAAACACTTCAACAAGGTAATGCAAATGCTCATCTTATCTACCTGACAAACGGGAAGCAGGATTCTCAGAAGTTTCACTTTGGTAGTTTGAAGTGGATCATTTGCAGTGGTAGGAAGGAATTATTAAGGAAGTTTTTTGCTTCAGCATTTGTTTCTGGGAGCAAGAGTTTGCGAGCTGTCTCTGTTCTCATTTGCATGTTGAGTTACTTCAAGTCAGCTCCAAGTTAGTGCAGCTGGATAAGAGCAAAACTGAGGCTGGCCTTGTTGCTGGCCAGGAGGCTTTTTCTGAAGTAGGATTTTTCAGAGAGCCTTTCTGTTTTTAAGAAACCTCAAAGAGCTGCCCCAAACTAGTCAGAAAGCCAGCTGTGCTTCAACAAGAGCTGCTTCTGTTTCCGAGCCTTTTCAAACCAGAACCATAAACGCTGCTGGTTTTGTGAGAAGCAGCAATCTGTAGAGCATGCCACTTCCATTGTCTTCAAGAAAGAGAAGTGTGATGGTAAAGACCCAAACCATTTCGTCAATGTACAGCTCAAACTGCTGCACCTCATGAGAGGAGAGGAGAGGAGAGGAGAGGAGAGGAGAGGAAAACTTGCTGCCCCTTGGGTCTGGCAGGATTTGGTGAGAAGAGTTATGAAGTTGGTTTGCTGGAGGTGCAGCAGGCACCTTTTTTTTCCCATGGAAATGATTTGCTCCTGTGTCTGAAGTTCCTTTTGCACCAAGCCTGGAGCAAAAGTCACAGAATCATAGAATGGTTTGGGTTGGAAGGGACCTTAAA